CTGGCAGGTCTACCCAGACAATTTTAAATGTCGTAACCCACCTCGAGCCGTGAGGAGAAGTGAGCGGGCAAGAAATAGAATCGTCAGCTCTGACATCAGTATGGAATTCGGCCTAAACAAATGTGCCACAGTGGCATTAAAGAATGGGAAAATTCTCATGGTGGTCCACGAGAAGGCCTTACTGGTACTATTTAAACTGTTATGTTTATTCATATCATGATCTGATCACCATGCTCAATATATCCCATATGCATGGGGGTATTGGGGTAACGATACAAAAGGTTTGCTAGGCTAGACCCTCTTTCACTCAGACTCAGCCCCCCCCCCCGAATCAAGCCCAGCTCCCCCCGAAACAAAATCCTGGCTACGAGCCTGATATATATACACATACACACACACACACACACACACACACACACACACACACACACTAGTCATCCCCTGCCACGTGTTGCTGTGGTCCAGTCTGGTGATCTGGAAAATAAAGTAATGAGAAAGTGTTGGTTTCTAATATATGTAATTTCTTTATGCTTGTGGGTAAATAGTATTTGACTACGTTGCCCTGGTGAAGGGAGTTGGACTGGATGGCCTTAAGTATTTTCTATTGGTCATAGGGGTTCTGTGTGGGAAGTTTGCCCCAATTATATCGTTTGTGGGGTTCAGAATGCTCTTTGATTGTAAGTGAACCATAAATCCCAGTAATTACAACTCCCATATGTCAAGGTCTATTTTCCCCAAGCTCCTTCTGTGTTCCTAGTTGGTCAAATGGAATATTCTTGCCAAGTTTGGTCCAGATCCATCATTGTTTGAGTCCACAGTGCTCTCTGGATGTAGGTGTACTACAACTCCCAAACTCAAGGTCAGTGCCCACCAAGCCCTTCTAGTATTTTCTGTTGGTCATGGGCATCCTGTGTGTCATGTTTGGTTCAATTCCATCACTGGAGGAATTCAGAATGCTCTTTGATTGTGGGTTAACTATAAATCCCAGCAACTACAACTCCCAAACTCAATTTTTTGAGTGATGGTCACTCCTTGGGTTAGTACGTGTCTTGTGACCAAATTTGGCGTCAATTCATCCAGTGGTTTTTGAGTTATGTTAATCCCACAAACGAACATTACATTTTTATTTATATAGATTGTTCGGACTTGAATACTAACATTAAATTCCTAAAACATCACTAATCTGTATCTAAAAGTAACAGATTCCTTTTTATCATTTTCAATATCATTTCTTTTCTTTAATGTTCCAAATAATTTTATTAAGCATTTCCAAAGTAACGGATTCTTGATCGAATGGCAGTTTCTGAGTCATCTGTCTTCATTGAACAATCTTCAAATTGTCGAGTGTTACACCCTTTTTTAACAGACTTGGCACAGCAACATTGGTCACAGCAGGAAATGACAATGAGAACAGAGGTGGTCTGTTGAATCTTGACTAAGGAATGTAGACTTTACAAAGGTATTGGTAATTTACCTGGTTTATTAAGAGCGTTAGATACCATTTCTTGGCAGAATAATAAACACAAACCTGTGCATGCTTTTTCTCAGGCCAAGGAAGATAGCAGACAGTCAACTTATAAGTAAAGCCTCCTCTGGTTCAAACAGAAAAAAGTAGTTAATGTGTTGGCGGGGATTACTTTAATCATGATTTCATCAAGCCACTATCAAATATTTCCATCTTTTTGAGCTTAGCTGCCCTCTCCAATTGTAGTTTCTCTCCTGCTTCAATTTCATTCTCCTCAACTATATCTCACTGTACTGAGTCCAGCTCTCACATCCATAGGTGAGTACGGGGAATACCATTGCTTTTACTATGCAGATCTTCGCTGCCAATGTGATGTCTCTACTCTTCACTATTTTATTGAGATTGGTCATTTCTCTCCTCCCAAGAAGTAAGCGTCTCCTGATTTCCTGGCTGCAGTCTGCGTCTGCAGTAATCTTTGCACCTAGAAATACAAAGTCTATCACTGCCTCCACATTTTCTCCCTCTATTTGTCAGTTATCTATAATTCTTGTTGCCATAATCTTGGTTTTTTATGTTTAGCTGCAACCCAGCTTTTTCACTTTCTTTTTTTACCTTGATTAGAAAGCTCCTCAGCTACTCCTCGCTTTCAGCCATCAAAGCGGTATCATCTGCATATCTAACGTTAATGTTTCTTCCAGCAATTTTTACCCCAGGTACCTGTGGAATGTCCAGGGTGGAAGAAAGAATACATGTCTGTTTGAAGCAAGTGTGAATTCTGCAATTAGCAAGCATGACTAGCATTGAGTAGCCTTGCAGCTGTAAAGTCAGCCAGTGAGAGTAGTTGTATAGAGGTAGTTTGGCTGTTGTGCCTGGAGGCACACTTTGTTTGGAAGGTGTTAACTGCCACTTGGTTGTTTGCTGTCTGGAATTCCCCTTTCTCTGAGCGGTGTTCTTTATTTACTCTCTTGGTTCTGGCATTTTTAATACTGATAACCAAATATTTTATATTTTCATTGTATCCTCCTTTCTGTTGAAATTGTCCATGTGCTTGTGGATTTCAATGGCTTCTCTGTGTAGTCTGACATGATGGCTGTCAGAGTGGTCCAGCATTTCTTTGTTTTCAAGTAATATTCTGTGTCCAGGTTGGTTCATCAAGTGCTCTGTTATAGTTGATGTCTCCACTCCTATTTGTCTGCAAATCCATTTGTATTCCTGTCTGGGTGCTGTGTTTGGTGGTCCCTATGTAGACTTGTGTGCAGCTGTATGGTATACGGTAGACTCCTGCAGTAGTTTAAGGATCTCTCTTATGCTTTGCTGAACATAGCATTTTTTGAATTTTCTTAGTGGGTCTGTAGATATTGTTTGTAGGTTGTGTTTCTTCATCAGCTTCCCTATACAGTCAGTGGTTCCCCTGATGTATGGTAAGAACACTTTTACTCTGGGTGAATCTTTGTCTTTACTCTCGTGGCTTCTTCTTGGTCTTGCAGCTCTTCTGATGTCTGTTGTGGAATACCCATTGGCTGGTTTAGGTGGTTCAGTTCACCTTGGATGAGATTTCTGAAGCCTTTAGTGATCTGGCTCTGTCTTCAAACAGAGCATTGTAGTCACTATCATAGGGACATTGACCAGGAATTTCCTGTAAATTTGTGAAATTAAATCTTGAAGTCATTAAGTTATAGTTCACGTTATACAATCTTTTTTGAAGTCATTCTGCCTCCCAAGTCAAGTCTGCAAAGTGAAACTAATAACAAAATCACTTCTACTACCAGCAATGTTTGTTGGAACAAATCATACTTCTGGGTAGCAAGCATTTATACTACTCTACTCCAGTAAATACTCAAGAATCCAGGAAGGTAGGGGTTACAAATATTTTGACTTTATTATAAATAAGAAATACTGTTTTATACATAGAACTGCCAAGTGTTGCATTTTTGTTGTTTTTGTTTTGAACACGGTTTATTCTGGTGTGTTTCCTGTAAGAAGACAACATCTGCTGCGTCTTTCTTCAGTAGGGTTTCAATCCTCCGGCCTTCCCAAGTGGGCCTTCCCAACCCGGCCTTCCCAAGTGGGGAGGGAGTGGTGAAATCATCCTGTAGCCCACTCTCCCTCCCCCCGAGTGCTCATTTTTTTTAAAAAAAATTATTTTTTTAATTGCAGTGCTTCTAAATTTCTTCTTACAGCCCAATTCCTCTGATGGCACCGATTATTCCCTCCAATTCTCCTCCTTTCTCTGATGTTCTTCCTCCCTCCGCTCCTTTCTCCTCCCCATCCTTTCCGTCACTGTCTTGTTTCGTTATTATGCCAAGCTCCTTTAATAGTTGAAGTCCTTTTCCCAAAGAATCAATTCTGTACCTCTTGCCTCTTTATTTGAATTTGAGAAAGGTTTGGTATCCCCAGGTAGACAGTATTCCGGCATTCATTAACTGAATCATAATTGGCTTCATTGAATATCAAATAATACTTCTGGGTAGGCAAGCATTTATACTACTCTACTCCAGTAAATACTCAAGAATTCAGGAAGGTAGGGGTTACAAATATTCTGACTTTATTATAAATAAGAAATACTGTTTTATACATAGAACTGCCAAGTGTTGCATTTTTGTTGTTTTTGTTCACTGCTCCCAGACAGCAAGACCACAGATTTAAGGCAAAACCTGGAGTGAAGGCACACATAGAAGTGCTCACAGTTCAGAATAAAATGAGGGGAATTCAAGAGGTCTCTTCCTGTGGCACCTGGTTGTATGTTTCTGTGAGCAGCTGTTGCAGCTTTTTGTTATGCAAAAAACCCCTTGGACCTATACAAATGTGATAATGGCTTGTTAACACAGTATTCGTAATTAAGAGGATTCTTATAAAGGTCTTTTTAATTTATTTATTTATTTAAAATTTAAAAATCTGTTACTTATACCAGTTTTAAAGAGAGAGAAAAAGGGAAAATTCTAGAAAGGTAGCAAAAGGGCCAAAAGAAAACAACTGAGTGCATTATTGTCATCCTCTCTTTTTCTTTTTTTGGGGGAAAAGAAGGGGACAGAGAGGAGATACTGTTAAGAGTGCAGACATCTGACTCGTCAGGTCAGATGAAAAATACTGAGACCAAGTGTGACACATCAAAGTGAAATGTTACTTCTGATCGCTCCAGAGTTGTATGAAGGCACCTTGGTATAATGTAAACTGATAAGTCACTTGGATAAAAGATGAGAAATGAAAATGCGGTCTCTTTTCCCTCTGGACCCAAGATATGGTCATCTCTAACTTTAAAAGAAAAGAAAAACAAGGCTCAAATGGATTTATTGTCGAAGGCTTTCATGGCCGGAATCACTGGGTTGTTGTAGGTTTTTTCATGCTATATGACCATGTTCTAGAGGCATTCTCTCCTGACGTTTCACCTGCATCTATGGCAAGCATCCCCAGAGGTAGTGAGGACTCACTACCTCTGAGGATGCTTGCCATAGATGCAGGCAAAACGTCAGGAGAGAATGACTCTAGAACATAGCCATATAGCCTGAAAAAACCTACAACAACCCACCCAAATGGATTGTTTTTGCAGAGTGATACAGGAGAAAAGGCCACAGTTTTAAATCTACAGATCTGCTACTTGACTTTGGATAATGGTCTATTTCTCACTGGTCTTTGGAAGTTTGATAACATTTCCCACTGCAAATGTTAGGCTCATACAACTGAATGTTCCTTCATTCCATGTGGAAATACATTTAAGTATTTCCCAGATACAGGTTTACCACACCAGTGTGAACTAGGCCAGGGTAACATTTCTCCTGTAGGCCCAACAAGAAGCCTTTCACCATTCATAAAACCACAATCAGTCCAAACATAATGTCTGTAAACCAGGAACAAAGCGGAAGTTCAGATAGCATTTTGCGTCTTGCCTATGGACTCTCACTTGCTCTTCCCTCACTTCAAGTGACAGTAACAAGGGAAGCTGCACATTTAATCCAGTACAGGTTCTCTGCTTACTACCTGTCATTTGCAAAAAAAAAATGTGAGAGGAAGGAGAGTAGTACACACATTTAAGTCCTGTATAATTCTCAGGGGCAAGGTATTATTTAGAGAGGCCTAAAGAGTATTAGTTATTTTGGGGCTACACCCTTCTGAAACCTTAAGGCATCAGTGCTGGCTTTAGAAGAGATGGCAACTTGTCTCTCAGAGGAATACAAATGGTAAACCACTGGATGTTGATACCACAGAATAGTACTGACTACCATTATGGAGGTGCAACGGGATAAATTTGGACAGAGAAACTACCCGATTTCCCTTACCCCACCCTGGAGAATAAACTGTGTGTGGCGTGTAGATTAAGAGGAAGCAAAGGGGAGAGAAACAGTGGCAACTCTGGAAACAATACCAAGCATATTTACAGAGCGAGGTAAGGGAAGAGAAATAGACTTTTCCTCACACTATAATCATGATTAAAAAGACACAAAAAACCCCACATTCACACAAAAATATAAATTTGAAATAATTAATAGCACCAGTGTGTGTCAGATAATAAATTTCTTCCCCTCTACGCAAACGTACAAAGTTGCATAGTGTTTAAGGGTAGTATACACTGATTAAAAAGGCAGGGGGGTGGAAGTATCAGGTCAGTCTGATGAGGAAACTACAGAGGGAGATTGTTTCCTCTTGTTCAGGATTTGGGGAGGGAGGAGAGAGAAGATCATAAAAGAAACTATCTGCTCTCTACAAGGAAACTCATCCAATGTGGGGGAGGAAGGGGGATTTTGAATGGGAGGGGGGCAGATTCAAACTGAGCAACAAGCAAATCAGTTTGTAAATACTGCCAACCCATGACGTTATTTGTCCTTAGAATGAGTCCTGGCCATTTAAAAACATTCCTTTAAAAATGGGTCAGGAGTTTCAGACAAGAGCAGGTTTACAACATAATTCAACCTCTTAGGTTTTACTTTCTATCACAGAATATAATGCTGATATCAAATTTCCCAGGCAAGCCTAGCAGGTAAAACTCTCTGGATGGCTGGTTTCAGTAAAAAAAAAAATTAAAATAATCTGAACTACTGCTTTTGAAGTATCAGCTTATACTGCTTATCCAGCTGCAAGATATCTCTTGGAGATGTCTAGTGACTGGCTGGTAACAGGAACAGTCATGGACCTAAGCAGGCTCTTCCCAGCTTGAAGATATGATATCTGCCGTTCTTCTTGTAGGTTGAAGCCAGGCCAAGGCATAGCACCATGGAGATCTAACACACTACTCCTTCCTCATGACTCCTCAAAATGTTTCTGAGAAATTGTCCTCAGAACCAGGATATACACAAACATATTGCACTCTAGAAAGGTTCGTAAAATTTGGCAGCTGGCTACCAAAGGTATGCTTTGATAGATTCTAATTTACGGATATGGTCGGTTCTGTCTTCTTGTTTTAAAGAATTGTAAAGTCCACTGGTATTTCTCACACCTGGCCATTCATATTTAATACTTTGGTAGCCAAACCATTTCCTTCATAGAAGAAAGAAAAGAGAGCTGTGGATGAGAGAGAAGGGGGAAAGGTTAAGAGACATCGGAGAGGAGAAGAGGAGGAAGACAAAGCTTGTGACTGCCCCCCAATGATATATCTATTCCCATGGCCATTTCTGTAATTCAGTACACATCCACAGTATTTCACATTTTTGTGTAAATCAAGGAGGACTGTATACTGAGAGAGGGGAAGAAGGTGGAGTGTCTGAGCATAGAAGTGTGTTGATATTAGCATCTTGAAACTTTGATACCCTAGAGGCTGGTACCTAATTTGCTTTGAACTCAAAAACGTGCATTTCCCACCTTTGAATTGGGAGAAAAAGAACTGAGAGCTGTACGGGAGACAAGGTAGGGGTCCTGAGGGACATAACCTAGGAATTAAGGCACTCCACAGCCAAAAGAATTGCTCCACCAGTCATTGAGGGAATGCCCCCCTGCCCTTAGCACACCCTTAGGGTTTTTCAATGGACGGGGTGTTGAAACAGCCAGTTGGTAAGGTCTTCTTGATGTCCTCTAGATTGGCAATGTCTTTCCTGATGGTGCTAATGTCCCTGTTGTATTCATTGATGGCACTGGCTTGCTTTTCCGCTGCTTTCTCTAGATCAGACACTTTTCGGTCCAGATCGTTGTCCCTCATCTGTTTTTTGGCAGCATTTAAGGTATCCTCAATATCATTCAGTTTACTTGAATCCACAGGCTCCACACTCCCTGCAAAGTGAGCAATGCATGAAATTAGAAGGGCATTAGATCAACTGCACTCCAATACTGAAACTGATGAAGAAGATTCAATGTATTGTTGAAGGCTTTCATGGCCGGAATCACTGGGTTGTTGTAGGTTTTTTTCGGGCTATATGGCCATGTTTTAGAGGCATTCTCTCCTGACGTTTCGCCTGCATCTAGGGCAAGCATCCTCACTACCTCTGCGGATGCTTGCCATAGATGCAGGCAAAACGTCAGGAGAGAATGCCTCTAGAACAGGGGTCCTCAAACTAAGGCCCAGGGGCCGTATGCAGCCCTCCAAGGTCATTTACCCAGCCCTCACTCAGGGTCAACCTAAGTCTGAAATGACTTGAAAGCACACAACAACAACAATCTTATCTCATCAGCCAAAAGCAGGCCCACACTTCCCACTAAGTTTATATTTGTTAAAATTGTTCTTCTTTTTAATTATTGTATTGTTTTTATGTGGTTTTTTGCACTAAAAATATATATATGTGCAGTGTGCATAAGAATTCATTCATGTGTTTTTCAAATTATAATCCGGCCCTCTAACACTTTGATGGACTGTGACCTGGCCCTCTGTTTAAAAAGTTTGAGGACCCCTGCTCTAGAACATGGCCATATAGCCCGAAAAAACCTACAACTCAAAGAAGATTCAGTCTACAAGAAGCATGTTTCAGCCTTCTTTCTCTGAGTTAGTTTCAAAAGTATTACAATATTTCTTTGCATACTGATCCAAACTAAATAGAAATAATTTCCACTTGCCAAGAAAATGCAGAAAAATACAAATGGATTTTCTTAAAGCTAAGTAAGTCTATTATTTATGTATTTATTTATTTACTGAATTTATTCACTAGAATTGATAGGATTTGACAATGTGGAATGAATTTACGGACTCTGAGCTGGCGAACGTTGAGCATTAGATTGGTTTTATTGATTATGATGTATAATTGATTGTTTTAATTGTTTATAATTGCTGTTGATATATGTTTTATCTTATTGTTTGTGTTGGCATCGAATTGTGCCTTTTGTAAGCCGCTCTGAGTCCCCCCTTGGAGGTTGAGAAGGGCGGGGTAGAAATGCGCGAAATAAATAAATAAATAAATAAATAAATAAATAAATACTGTATTTGTATACCGCCTTTCTCAGCCAATTGGCGACTCAAGGCGGTTTCCACCAAATCAGTACATATAAAAACATAATACAGATTAAAACATTAACCAATATAAAACAACACAAAAGCAATAAAAACACCATTAGCATCTCATTATTATCAAGCATTGTCCAGTTCCATTGTCAAATCGTTCAATTTCCTATATTAGCTACTCTGCATTTGTAAACGCTTGCTCGAACAGCCATGTTTTAACTTGCCTCCGAAACATTAAGAGGGAGGGAGCATATCTAATCTCCCTAGGGAGGGTGTTCCATAGCCGAGGGGCCACCACTGAGAAGGCCCTGTCTCGCGTCCCCACCAAACGTACTTGAGACGAAGGCGGGACCGAGAGCAGTGCCTCCTCAGATGATCTTAGAGTCCTCGGTGGTTCGTAAGGGGAGACACGTTCGGACAGGTAAGTTGGGCCAGAACTGTTTAGGACTTTATAGGCCAAAGCCAGCACTTTGAATTGGGCCCGGTTGCAAAACGGCAGCCAGTGGAGCTGGTGCAACAAAGGGGGTGTATGTTCCCTAAGCGCCGCTCCTGTTAACAACCTGGCTGCTGTTCGTTGGACTAGTTGAAGCTTCCAGACTGTCTTCAAAGGCAACCCCACATAGAGAGTGTTGCAGTAGTCTATGCGGAATGTAACCAGAGCATGGACTACCGTGGCCAAGTCAGACTTCCCAAAGTATTATTAGTTTCTAATGTATGAACACAGTTAAGGAGGATATTCTCTTTATTTTTACACTATCATAAAGCTCCTTTGCTTGTCCAGAAGCTATTCATCTTGCTGTTTTGTGTCTTCAAGTAATTTCTGAGCTATATTGACCTTAAGGTGAACCTATTGTGGGGTTTTCTTGGCCAATGTGTTCAAAGGTGCTTGGTCTTTGCATTCCTCTGGACCTAGTGGATTTCCTTGGCCAAGTGGGGATTCAAACGCTATTCTCCAGAGTCATGCCTGAAACTCAAACTACTACACTATATTGTTTCCGTATGTCAGCATTAATAATTATATACCACTGTTTATATGAATATATCCTAGTCTACAAATATATCCATTAAAGTCACTATATCTGCCAATACTACCACCGGGATTGTGGCGCAGCTGGCTGAGTGTCAGCTGCATTAAGATCACTCTGACCAAAAGGTCATGAGTTCGAAGCCAGCCCGGGTTGGAGTGGGTTTCCAACCAATTGTGTAGCCTGTTGTTGACCTTTGCAACCCAAAAGACAGTTGCATCTGTCAAGTAGGAAAATTAGGTACCACCTTAAAGTGTGGGGAGGCTAAATTAACTAATTTTTGAGGCCATAAAGAAGACTCCAGCAAAGCACTCCTGCGGGGAAGCATGCGGGGAATGCGGAAGTACTTCATCAGCGTCGCAGATGGACGATGAAAGCAACACCTCCCCTGGCGGCCAGAAAAAGTTAAATAGCCTCTGTGTATGTCTGTATATGTTTGTATGTCAAAAATTGGCATTGAATGTTTGCTATATATGTGTACACTGTAATCCGCCCTGAGTCTCCTGCGGGGTGAGAAGGGAGGAATATAAATGCTGTAAATAAATAATAAATTTTACATGTCCACCCACGCAAAACTATGTCAGCCACTTGCAGCACAGCAATGGTCTGCAGCCTTTTCTAGCTTACTGCTGTGGCATACAACTTCCACCATTCCTTAATCACTGGCCATGGCAGGTAAGACTGAAGAGGACTATGGGCAAAAACACTTGGAAAGTGCTGGGGTGAGGGTACAAAGGCTGAATACCCCATCATTTAGGTTGTCAAGGTTTTTCACCAACTGAATAAGAAAATACATGCCTAACTTCTCGAGGAGGTCATTGATTGTGCTGAGTAAGCTGTTAACGGAGTTCTTTGCTTTCCTTGCATTGTCTTCTGCTTCCTGAGCTGCTTGTGAAGCCTGTGGAATAACAGAAGAGATATATCATAACTCAGTGCATGCATATAATTCCATATTCAATTACTTGCAACTAAACCTGATACTTTGCTATAGCATTAAATGTCCACTTTTAGTGCTGGATTGAGTCCGCTTGACATATAGCAACATTACATCATACAAAGCCATTTCCACAGGAAGACCAGCGAGAAATAAAAACATAGAGAAAAAGAAAAAAATGGTCCTTGGAACAACTTTTTCTGTTTCTTTCTGTTAAAGGAACATCTGTGCTGATAAAAGACATATTTTCCCTTGCATTTTTAACAACCAATTGCAACTTATATTGGATGAGACTTTCATAAATATTTTTTTTTTAAAAAAATAGGCCAATTTACTCACCATTCCTGCCATCATCATATCTTGATCTGCACTTTCTTGTTTCCTCTTTAGCTCTTTTTCAGCATCTTCGAGTTGCTGCAGCATGTCATCCACTTCTTTGTCCAGGTCAGCAACAGTGGAGAAGGTCTTGTCAGCATCAGCCTTGGTCTCAGCAGCGTTCTAAGATGGGCAGAAACCAAAGTGTTAAAGAACAAAAGGAGCCTAAAAACAAATTACCGTATATTCCGGCATATAAGATGACTTGGCGTATAAGACGACCCCCAACTTTTCCAGTTAAAATATAGTTTGGGATATACTCACCGTATAAGACTACCCCTCTTCCAAGGCACACCAAATAAAAATTTATAAAGCATCAGATTTGATTTCAATATGGTAATTTTCCTATTACTGTACCTCCTTCTCTGCCTCTCAGATCTCACACATGTGCACCTGCACCACTTCACTGCAATCTTCAGGAGCGAGATCCGAGAGCCAGAGGAGGACGTATGGTAATAGGATACAAGGGCGGGCCAGACAGGTAAAAGAGGTGTGTTTTTCTGGGTTCAGAGCCACTCTATTTCTTTTTTCCTTACCTCAGGCGCCCCTGCAGCTTGCTCCACCCTTCACTTACACCTTGCCGGTGATGTGCCCCTTGACCTCACCATCAGGACCGCATTAACTCCACAAATCTTGATGAATGGATTTTCTTCTACCATACTTGTACAGTGTCACCCTTAATGCTTTCATACAGTCGCTGCATATGGCAGGGACATGGCCACTGCCATTTTTGAGCTCCCCCCACAATATGCAGCAACCACAGATTCTCCAATCTGGATTGGAAGTTTCAGCACCCGCTCTATAAGATGACTCCCAGTGTATAAGACTACTCCCGCATATAAGACGACTCCCATGCATAAGGCTACTCCAGCATATAAGACGACTCCTGACTTTTTCTTGGGTTAAAAAGTAGTCTTATATGCCAGAATATAGGGTAAGTACCAATGCACAATTGATCCAGTCATAGATTCTGGAACTGATGAACCCCCACAAGTCTGAGCTGAATGACAGGTTATCAAACAACCAAATAATAGATAACATCACTGCATAAGGAGACCCTTTTCTCTTCCTCTGCATACCAGACCTGCAGAGAAATATAGCCTTTGAACACCCACTTCCTTCCTCCTAAGAGTCTGGTCAACTAAATGGAGAAAGATGGTGAGTATGAAGGTGAATGTATGTGAGCAAATGTTAAGAGTATATGTGATGTTTCCTCTCTGCCTGTGTTATTAATATAGCTATTATATAACCAGTGCTGAGTCTGTGTGTTTACTTCTTTCTCTGAAAATGCCTAATACTCTGTCCCACTACAAATGGATTAAAGAAAATGTTAAAAGTTCAATAAGTATTTGTGACACGTGTGGAACGATATCGTGACAGACAGTAGCTGTTCAAGATCTCATGTGGAGATTTTTTTCTGGCCTTGCAACCTTTACCTGGAGATAAAAATACAAAAGTGAACACCTTGAATCCTTCCATATATTATTGGATGCCTTTTATTCTTCACCACTAAACATCTGGAGAACTACCTGTTGGCCAGTCCTGTGCTAGAAAGGCATGAATGCCTCTACTATGGTTCTCGGCAACAAACTAAAGAAAATACTGCCACATCATTTCACCTGAGTTATAAGAAAGTTATTTAACCTGGGTGACAAAGAATTAAATACCAAAAGCAGAGCGTGAATGCTAAATATGCTTCACATAGAATCATAGAGTTGGAAGAGACCTCATGGGCCATCCAGTCCAACCCCCTGCCAAGAAGCAGGAATACTGCATTCAAAGCACCCCCGACAGATGGCCATCCAGTCTCTGTTTAAAAGCCTCTAAAGAAGGAGCCTCCACCATACTCCAGGGCAGAGAGTTCCACTGCTGAACGGCTCTCACAGTCAGGAAGTTCTTCCTAATGTTCAGATGTTCTGTGCCAATTATTTGAGAATCATAGGTTTTTTTACATCTACTCCAACCAGACAGAACCTGAGTGGCATCTATCACCCAAAGAACCTTTTCATAGGCAGGAATGACCTGCCAGAAGAGGCCCAACAGCTAAACCAGCTGGTGGAATTTAAAACACCTGAAGGCCCATCTCATCCGACAGGCCTTCCCAGTCAATTTTAACTTGTGAACTTTAACCTGCATATAATAATGTACACACAAGAAGTGTATATGTGTATGTTGTGTTATGTTATGTGTGTATGAGCTGTTTTATCTCTCTGTTTTGAACCAATTGTACCTTTCCTCAAGCCGCAAGAAGAGGCAGGTAATACATTTATTATTAGTAGTATTATTACTGCTGTTCCAGAATTTACTAGTTCTAAACTTGCATTCTATTTCAATTTCTGGAAGAAGACAACCTTGTCTATATCTACATGCCAAATACATGCAGAAGAAACATGTAAAATGAAGATTTTTCTAGACTGTACCATACCAGAATCATAGTTGGAAGAGACCTTGTGGGCTATCCAGTCTAACTTCCTGCCAAGAAGCAGGAAAATCGCACTCAAGGCACCCCGGACAGATGGCCATCCAGCTAGGCTGCAGGCTAGAGGAATCAGTTCAGGAAAAGCTGTGTTATGGAATTGTTTTGTTTATAGACAGCTGCACTTGATCTCTAGAACCAGCCTAGCAATAAACTAACCAACCGAAGGGTCTACATAATGCAGAGAGTTAGAAGCATTGCATTTGGTCACTACATCCATCCATGTAAATGACTGGTTCAGAATGATGGATGCAGGTTCATGGCTCCTGCCAAGACTCACTTTCTGAACAGAACTAGCAATTTTCTCAGCATCACCAGCTTTGTTCTTTGCTTCCCTGGCATCGGCAACAGCGCTCCCCAATGCTGCTTTTGCTTGACGGGTCTTATTGTTGGCCTCCAAAATAGTACGGGTGATGGCAGGAATTTTCTTCAGAGCATCCTCAGCAGCAGTCTTGTTATCATTCACACGCTTATCAAAATCTGGAAAGGGGAAAAAGCACACAGTAAGAGCACAGCCCCTCTGCATCAAATGAAAATTTATTTAGCTGAGCCTTCTGTTGCCGATGAATGTTGCTGAAGTGCCCGAAAGTGAAGTAGAAACACTCTGTCTTCTAAAGAGAGTTTACAGATTTTTTTACTTATCTTGGATCACAACTCTAAGAATACCTCAGTCGACATGGCTAGTAGCTAGCAGCCATACTGCCTGGGGAATTCTGAAAACTAAAATGTATTCTTGCAAGCTCTGTTCTTAAAATAGTTTTAATTTATTTGGCGATCTTACAGTCAATAGCCACCAACAAACCTCTCCCTGCCTACACATTCAGACCTTGATTTGTAGGAACGTTATTTTTACAGGACCAGACAAATTCTCAAGCAAATACACCTACCCACAAGATGAGCAGAACTGGATTTGTTTTACTATCTTCATCAACATGGAAACTGATAGGCTTAACTATCATTGAGGTAGGAAATAAGAGTGACTTGCACCTGGGTTCAGACTAAAATAAAAGTTTTATTGTAATACTAGCTTTCCCCTGCCACGCGTTGCCCACATGGGGGTTCTGTGTTTGGCCCAATTCTATCGTTGCTGGGATTCAGAATGCTTTGTGATTGTAGGTGAACTATAAATCCCAGCAACTACAACTCCCAAATGTCAAAATTCTATACTCCCCAAACTCCACCAGTGTTCACATTTGGACATATTGAGTATTCGTGTAGTTTGGTCCAGATCCATCATTGTTTGAGTCCACAGTGATCTTTGGATGTAGGTGAACTACAACTCCAAAACCAAAGGTCAATACCTACTAAACCCTTCCAGTATTTTCTGTTGGTCATGGGAGAACTGTGCGCCAAGTTTGGTTCAATTTCATCGTTGGTGGGGTTCAGAATGCTCTTTGATTGTAGGTGAACTATAAATCCCAGCAACTACAACTCCCAAATGACAAAATCATTTTTTTTTTAGTGAAGGACATACATTGGGTTGTTAGGTGTATCGTGTCTAAATTTGGTGTCAATTCCCCCAGTGGTTTTAGAGTTCTGTGAATACCACAAATGAACATTACATTTTTATTTATATAGATAAAATATAAAACTGAAATAAAGTTTTATTGTAATATATACTCAGGCAAGCCATGGTGGATGTCCAGATTTTCAGACAGACTCTCTTTCTCAAGTCTGCCTAGGAAATACTGCAACTTCCTGCATATACTCTACCACACAATCATGCTCCACTAGGAAATGTTCAGATCTCAAATAAACGAATAACATTTCCTACAAAAAACAAAAATCCATCTACACAGCAAATAATCACATCAGAGACAAGAGCCTATGTTTATTAGCTTTATATCCAAAAGAGCAGATATAAAGCAAAACCTTACTATAGCTCAGGGATGAATGTATTGCTACAGTGTGAACTGGTCCAGAGCCTGAGTCCATTGAAAGCAAATAAAACTATTCATCAACCAAAGTGAGTGCCACCATTGGGAGTATCTGTGATCAGTTGATTTCAGTTACAGAGCCCTTAAGCTGGCAGTGCTAACTTGGTGAACTGTTTTCACATGTATATTTATTATCATTATCTATATATATAAAAATGCTCTGTGCATAGTGAGTACCTTAAAAACAAAAGAACCAAAGAACGAAATCACACCAAATTTGGCAACAAAACGTCTCACAACACAAGGAGCGACTATCACTTAAAAAATTATGATTTTGTCATTTGGGAGTTGTAGTTGCTGGGATTTATAGTTCACCTACAATCAAAGAGCATTCTGAGCTCCACTAAGAATGGAATTGAACCAAACTTGGCACACAGGACTTCCCTGACCAACAGAAAACACTAGAAGGGTTTGGTGGGCATTGACCTTGGGTTTTGGAGTTGTAGTTCACCTACATCTAGAGAACACTGTGGACTCAAACAATGATGGATCTGGACCAAGCTTGGCACAAATACTTAATACGCCCAAATATAAACACAGATGGAGTTTGGGGGAAATAGAACTTGACATTTGGGAGTTGTAGATACTGGGATTAATAGTTCACCTACAATCAAGGAGCATTCTGAACCCCACCAACGACAGAACTGGGCAAACTTCCCACACAAAACCCTCATGACCAATAGAAAATACTGTGCTTTCTAGTAGTCTTCAGTGACCCTTCTGACGCCACCTCAAACCCCCCCCCCCCCCCCCCCCCCAGGGGTCCCAAACCCCAGGTTGACAAATGCTGCCTTAAGGCCATCCAGTCCAACTCCCTTCACCAGGGCAAGAAAACATAATCAAAGCTCTCATGACAAAGGGCCATCCAGCCATTCACACACACACATATATGTATATGACAGATGCAGTATCAAAGATTTGAAAGGGACCCCTAAAGAAGGACAATGATGTGTTGCATATTCCAGAGTAGGCAAGAAATACTGTTTACCCACAAGCATAAAGACATTACATATATTAGAAACCAACACTTTCTCATTACTTTGTTTTCCAGATCACCAGACTGGGCCACAGCAACGCGTGGCAGGGGACCGCTAGTAAATGTATATTTATTATCATGAATAGAGCCCCGGTGGCGCAGTGGGTTAAACCCCTGTGCCGGCAGGACTGAAGACCGACAGGTCACAGGTTCGAATCCGGGGAGAAGCGGATGAGCTCCCTCTATCAGCTCCAGCTCCTCATACAGGGACACGAGAGAAGCCTCCCACAAGGATGATAAAAACATCAAAACATCTGGGCATCCCCTGGGCAACGTCCTTGCAAACAGCCAATTCTCTCACACCAGAAGCGACTTGCAATTTCTCAAATCGCTCCTGACGTGACAAAAAATATCATTTTACGTAATTGTGTATTTTATTGGTGTTTTCATATTGTTGAAAGCCGCCCTGAGTCCCTCTTCGGAGGTCAAGAATAAGACGGGATAATAATGTTCTAAATAAATAAATAAATAAATAATGACAAGTTCCTGGGCTGTCTACTTGTATTCTGTCTCAGATGTCTAGTGAATTCTGGATCTCTGCATGATACAGACAATGCAAGATACCTACAGTAAATCACACGTGTAGAGTAGATGTGTAAAGAGGGTTTTTACATGTGTATTTTAAAAACCCTCTTCAAGCAAATGACTTTCTGCATAAATATAAACTTTCACCAGGAGCAAAGCTTGGCAAACTCCTACAGCCAAGATGTTCAGTGACCATGCCCACTGAAGGAATTCTGGAAGCAGTAGTCTAAATAAAAATCTATCAAGATGATGCATACATTCTTGAAAGACTAACAGTACTTCAGATGGTAGTACTGGGACAACATATTCCACTGAACCATATCTCTCCTCCTGCCACCAAAGAGAGGCCTGAACCTGGTGGAGAAGTCATCCTTCTCCAACATCCTATCAAATCATCCAACAGGAAGTCATACTCCCTACCATTCAGATTGTTGAGAATGTCGTTGGCCTCCTGGAGAGTGTCCTTCCCCTTCTTGGCAGCTTCTTCAGCCAGAGCTTTTGCAGCATCTGCTCGAGCCAAGAGCTGATCAGCAGTCTAAGAAAACACAAAGTACAGAGTAGCTACCAAAAGCAGTTTCTGGAAAGGTTCTTATTTTAACCTTGGCAAATATTCAAAACATTTGAAATACTTCTGAACAGAGTCATAAAAGTTACTTTTTGGACAATGACTTTAAGACCCCAAACTACTATGTCATTGCTGGCTAGTGCATTCTGGGAGTTAATAGTATATAACTCTCTCTCTCTCTCTCTCTCTCTCTCTCTCTCTCTCTCTATATATATATATATATATATATATATATATATAATTTTTTTTCAGGCTCTGCTTTAGAAATACCCCAAGTCTCAGTCTGAAGTGGGAGGTAATTCCATCATTAAGACCAGTTTTTGGAAATAAACCTCTTAATTCCCTGGTTGTTTTTTTTTTTTTTAATTGAGCTTGGGGAATCTTAGAACAGGACATGAGATAAAGGGATTCTGCTGGTTGAGACTTAGCCAGTCATCCTCACATGAACAAAGAAATTACAGAGTATAGACCAGGAAACACATTCAAACCATGATACAATATAAAACCAAAACCTATTAAAAACAGGCAATATATTTTTTGAATGAACAGAGTAGTGACAAATTGGTTAAGGCTCTTCACCTACATAATGTTCTTTTTTGCTCTTTCTGCACATATGTATGGGAGTTCACACCATAATTTTCAGTTTTGACTAATTATCAATGCTGGTAGGAAAGTGAAGTTTCCCATAGTCAATGTATTGTGAAGGTCTGGGGGGTGGGTGGACTGGTAGGGTGGGAGAGAATGAGAAAGTTACTACCTTAAAAGGCACACAAATGGTCTCATCCACACTAAATATTCAATATGTTGCTTAGCTCACCTCTGAAACATTTGCAGTGTTTCTCTCTTACTTTCTATGATGACCTTGCCTTCCATTTTTCATCTCCTTCTCTTGGCCATTCTCCTGGGCTCCCTTAGTCACCACCCCCACATACTTGAGTGGCCTTAGGGGCAGCCATTCTACAGATGGACAGGTTCTTTGCAAAGTTTCTAATGTTAAAATTTTGGTTCAAATTCTGATGGTAACTCTGCCCCCTCTCATCCGGGCATAAATATGACCATTCACTGGCAGATTCCTCAGGTCTTAGGCCTCCAGCTGAAGTTTTGAGGATAATGCACGGCCCAGAGGGGAGGAAGGGTGGGGTTGTGTGACTTCACGGATGACCACTTGAAGAAACACAGTTACAGGTAAGCATAATTTAAACCTGGTGGTTGCCACTGAAGGCTCAAGAAGGAGTGGCATCAAGCCTTTTAAGGTTAGTACATAATAATAATAATAATAATATTAATAAAAATAATCTTTATTTGTTACCCCGCCACCATCTCCCCAATGGGGACTCGGAGCGGATTACATGAGGCCAAGCCCAAATGACAATTACAATAAAGAAAAACCAAAAACACAAACCGAAAACACAAACAATAACATCATAGTTATATAAAACACATGAATACATAACAATATGAAAAATAAAGAATATGCACAGGCATAATAATGGGCAGGAAACATGTAGTAATCAAAATCCAAACTGATTAAAACTAATTAAAAAGTCGGGCGAGATAAAAGAGGGAAGCAGGTAATTTACGGAGGAGGGCTCATTCCAGTGGGAGTTGTGGAAGCAAGCTTTCCCATGAGGGGGGGCGTATACTCCAATGACAGAACTTTGAGGCAGAGCAATCATGTGGGAATTATATACCTACTCATCAAAGGCGCAGCGGAAGAGCCAGGTTTTAAGGTTCTTTTTGAAGACCTCAAGGGAAGGGGCTTTCCTAATTTCTCCAGGCAGTGAGTTCCAGAGTCAGGGAGCCACAGCGGAAAAGGCTCTCTCCCTTGTACTCACTAGGCGAGCTTGAGAGACTGGCAGGGGCGAGAGAAGGGCCTCCCGGGAGGATCAGAGGGCCCGAGATGGTTCATGGTGGGAGATACGGTCACAAAGGTAGGCGGGTAGTACATGAGTTAGTTCAGCTGAAAACACATGTTAGAAAGTAATGTGAAAGAGATCCAAAAGCCTTTAGTGGCAAATGGAAAAAATTGAAGAGACTGCCAATGAATAGGCATATTCATATTTATGTCCGGAAGAAAGGAGGGCGGGATTACCGCCAAAATTTGAATGCTAGAAGGTTTGCACAGATCTATTAGGGTCTGCACAGGCGCAGTATAACTCAGTTGTATGATTTACGGAGACTATGAAGAAGAAACAAACTTTTGGCCTTCAAGAACATTTGCCAAATGTTCTAATCATCAAACAGGTCCCAGTTGTGGAAGAAAGGCAGGACACACTTCAAAGAAATGCATTAACAAATACAGATAGATCTAGCTGCATGGCCATGAGATTTCTCTAGAGTATGTTTTTTAACATAAACTCTCAGAAGAGTAAGAACAGTGGAATGAATTGTTTCTCTTCAAACATGTGTTCAGAGCTTCCCACGTGGGCCACTGATTTAAAGAAATGTAACTGACCTGCTGTTCGGTTTTGCCTTTCTCCAAAAGGTTTTGTACTTCCAGCTCCTTCCCTTTCATGTCTTCTCTCAGATCTTCATAATCTTTCAGCTTTCTGTTGATTAGCTGATCCAGATCTCTGGCTTCTTTCTTGATCTTGTTTGCCTCATTCTGAGCAGGCAGAAAATGTGAGACGAGAAATGAATGTATACTGTACAATGTATATTTTTAAATAACAGCAAATTATAAGACCTATATTTGACTGGGTGGATCACAGATACTCTTTAAAGCTTTACCAGCCATAATGCCTAAACATACTCTAGAAGAAACTCAATTTCACATACCTCAAGTTTCTCAGTGTCTATCGATGGCAGACTAGTGAGATTAGCATAGATCTGCAACGCTTTGTTCCCAGCTTTCTCTGCTTCCGCATGGACCTCGTTTGCCTGCCTTTCCAAATTTCGGGAGATGTTCTTTGCTTGGTTATACCTAAAGAACAAGAAAACTCTCTGAATTCTGCCAATTATCCTACAGGAATGCACAACACATGGCTATCCAAGGTCTATGGCTCTAGCCCAGGGGTCCTCAAACTTTTTAAACAGAGGGCCAGGTCATAGTCCCTCAAAATGTTGGAGGGTCGGATTATAATTTGAAAAAAAAAAGAAGAATGAATTCCTATGCATACTGCACATATATTATTTGTAAGCAAAAAAACACTTTAAAACAATACAATAATTAAAATGAAGAACAATTTTAACAAATATAAACTTATTAGTATTTCAGTGGGAAGTGTAGGCCTGCTTTTGGCTGATGAGATAGGGTTGTTGTTGTTGTTTGCTGTGTATTCAAGACATTTCAGACTTAGGTTGACCCTGAGCGAGGGCCGGGTAAATGACCTTGGAGGGCCGTATCCTGCCCCCGGGCTTGAGTTTGAGGACCCCTGCTCTAGAGGTTTCCTGCTACTGTCTATCCTCAGCCTTTGGCCCTGAAAAAATTGAGAATTTGGCCTCCCTAAGTCCTCCTGAAGCATCTCCCCAACACAACTATCTTAGTGTTTTGCATAAAATTGCTGACAATTAAGTAAAAGCCTGTTTCCTCCACTGAATATGTCTGTATATGTGCATGGCAAATATGTGCTCTGTGTGCCTATAAGGATTGAAAGTATGCACACATCCGCATACTGCACTGTACACATATTGCAGTCTCCAAGTTCACTAATACTAGTAGAAAATACTGATGGTTATGATGATTAGCATTAATTTTATTTCTATCCTGCCTTTGTCCCCATAGGGACTCAAGGCAGTATGCAATAACATGCCCCTGGCATATAGGTATCATTCTTAGTTTGAGTGCAAAGGGTTCAAGCTCTGCCCCCAAAGGGTTGCATATGTTGGCTGTACTAACTGAAGATACGTTACAACCTAATGGCAGAGTAGAGTTAGCACTTTTGCACACCAAAGACATCTTGTGCAAACTCCTTTTCAAAAGGAACCTGACTAGTAGGGCTGAGAGAAAACAGCACCTGACTTAAAGAAATAGTCCTCAACCAAAAGGAAAAATCTATATTCAGCTCAATCTAAGGGAGACAAATCTAGAAGGTAAGGTATTTTAAAAGAAGAGCAAGATCACAGCAGATTATTTTGGAGTTAGAGCATCTCCACTTCTATTTTCATTTCACACTTACTTTCTGTTAAGGTCATTGATGTCATCCATTGTTTGATTCTCTCCTGACAGTGTGTCCAAGAGCAACTGGTATGCTTGTGAGGATGTATCATTTGCTTCCTTAGCGATACGTACAATGTCATCAGCCTCTTCTTTGTGTCTGTAGCAATAATTACAGAAGTAATGAAAGAGGTTAGAAAGCTATGACTATTACCTCTTTTACTCTCTGAAAGCTATAATTGGCATTAAAACAAGCCACCAATTCTAAAGTTAACAACATGACAAAATACCTTAGTTTGAAATACGCATTCTTGAATTGTCACTGATTAGTCTTAAAATGAAACTAGTCTTTTTGGCATGTTGGTTGCAAGGCAAATCCAATGAATTGGTAATAATAATAATAATAATAATAATAATAATAATAAACTTTATTTGTATTCCGCCCTATCTCCCCAAGGGGTGGATTCCAACATAACAATGGCAAACATTCAATGCCTACATAAACACATGATACTGACATAAAATCCTAGAAAAACCCCACATATAAATGTAGCATTAAAACCTAATATCAAATTAAAACCTAGCATCAGTATATTTAATTTGACATTAATAAATTAAACTACACATAGTCAAGCAAAATTCCATAACAACATATATCTAAACAAAATACCCACACGAGTGTAAAACAGACAGCAAGGGTTCACCGAACAGTGTGGGTTGGTTATGGGTTGTTAGGCTGGTGTGGACCAGAGAAGCCTAAATAAAAATAATTCTTAACCAGAGGCCCGGCAATGATTTCTTAACCATCTAATCCTCCTCCTCTCCATATCACAGTGTGCAGAAGTAGGTCTTTAGTTCTTTTTTTTTATTTTTTTTTTTATTTTTAAATTTTTATTGATTTATCACTTTATTACATACTATTACATTTTGTACATCAACCTCTTTAACATGTTATTTTATTATTTTACTCTAACATTTCTCCCCCTTTTTTTCTCATTTTTTCCCCCCCTTTTCCCACCACAGTGCTCCCCTCCACCCATTTCAAGCCACCCTTCTTACATTTCATCTGTCCAAAATTTCATTTCTTCTTGTGACGGTAATTTTCCTTCCTTATTTTTTAATCCATTTACCACAAATCTTCCCCATACAGCATCAAAATCGCTTTGTTTCCATATACCTTTTTTAACCTTTAATATACATGTCAATTTATCGTTTATTGCTATTTTCCATGCTTCTTTATACCACTCCTCTATTTGTATATTCATTTCTTTTTTCCAATTCCTTGCTATAAGCAGTCTTGCTATAGTTAGTAAGTTTGTTATCGCTTCTTTATCCTCCTTTTTCAAATGCTTATCGTTATATAGTGATAGTAATGCTATACTAGGACTTTTATCTAGTTTTATATTCATTATAGTTTCTATTTCTCTAAATACTATCCCCCAAAAATTATTTACATATTTACATTGCCACCACATGTGTATATATGTTCCTGGTTCTTGACACCCTCTCCAACAATTTATTGAGTTATTTTTACTCATATATGCTATTCTTACCGGTGTCAAGTACCACTTCCATATTAACTTGTAATAATTTTCTTTAACTCGTATCGATAAATTTTTTAAATGTCTTTGTCCCCATAATTGTTGCCACTCTATTTCGCTTATTTTTATCCCTAAATCTTCTTCCCAAATCTCTTTAAGGGTGCACTTTTTTGTTTTTTCATCTTTCATTTCAATTAATATCTTATAAATTTTGCTAATTATACCTCTCAAATTTTCGTGTTCTTCTACAGTCCTTCCCTTCTGTATTATTTGTTCGAATTGACTGAGTTGGCTTTCACTTCTATTATTTTTTTTCCAATTTGTTACCCATTGTTCTAATTGTATACAATGAAACCATGACAATTTTATTTCTTTAAACTCTTCCAACATCCTTTCCCTCTTCATTTCCACCTTCATCCAATCCCCTATCCTATCTAAATTTATTTCCCTTACCTTTTTATCCATTACTTTTTTTAAATTTTTTGGGAACTTCTTTTCCATCACTATTGGGGTTATAATTGATCCCTCCTTTATTAACCTCCCCTTATATTTATTCCATACTTTCAGTATGTTGCTCAGCATTGGGTTTCTAATTTCCCTCATTTCTTTTCTAGTAAACTGTTTAAAAAATATATTCCAAGTTTCATCTTCCACTTTTCCTGAATCATTACTAAGCCAATCTATTCCCTCTTCTTTGACCATTCCTTCTATAACCAAACTTAATCTACTTGCTTCGTAATATTTTTTTATATTAGGTAACGCCAGTCCACCCTCCTTTTGCGATCTATACCATAATTGTTTATTTAGTCTGTTCCTTTTACTTCCATTACAGTACTTATTAATCATTTGTTGCCATCTAGTTAGTTCTTCTTCTGTAATTTGAAGTGGTAGCATCCTAAATATGAAATTTATTTTTTGAAGTATTTTCATTTTTACTAATGCTATTCTTCCAAACCATGATAAGCGTATTCCTTCGTACTCTATTAACTTTTTCTGGACTTCTTTCCTTAATGTTACTACATTTACTTCCTCTATCTCTTTTAAATCCTTAGTTATTATTACTCCCAAGTATTTTAGTTTGTTCTTGATTCTTATTCCCCCTTTGCTCTGTTCTATAAGATCTTTTTCTTCTTCTCTTGTATAATTAAGTAGCATCATTTCTGACTTACTCCAATTAACTTGTAAGCCTGTTACTTTCCCAAATATCTCCAAATGTTCTTTTATTCTATCCATTTTCTCCACTATATTTTCTATAAATAACAATGTATCGTCAGCGAATAAACTCACCTTCTGTTTCTCCTTTTTTCCTAACCCTTCTAGATTTTTGTCATTCCTTATGTTATTAGCAAACAGTTCTATCACCATGGCAAATAGTATCGGGGACAAAGGGCACCCTTGTCTGGTTCCTCTAGTCACTTTTATTTCGTTTGTCACTCCGTCATTTATAGTTACCACTGCCGAGTTCCTTGAATAAAATTGTTTTAATACTCCTTTTATTCTATTTCCCATTCCAAATTTATTCAATATTTCCCTTAATGTCTCCCATTCCACACAATCAAACGCTTTAAAAATATCTAATGATAATATCCCTGCTTTTTCTTTCCCCTCTTTAGCCCAATGAATTTTATTTAGTACTCTCCCTATCAATTTGACATTTGTCTTCCTTTTATAAACCCGCACTGATCTTCTTTTATGTACTTATACATACATTTATTCATTCTATTAGCTAATATCGCGGACAATATCTTTGCATCCTGATTAATTAATGATATGGGCCTATATGACCCTGGGTCTGTTAGGTCTTTATCAGGTTTAGGTATTAATATTATTAATGATTTCCTCCATGATTCGGGTATTTTATCTCCCTTCATTATTCCATTGTACAATTCTAATAATTTTGGGGTTAAAACTTCTCTAAAGCTTTTATAATATTCTGTCCCTAACCATCCAAGCCCGGAGCTTTGCCAACTTTTAATTTCTTAATAACTTCCTCTATTTCTTTTTTCTTAATAGGTTGTTCCAGTAATTCTTTATCTTCCTCATCCAGCTTACTCTCCCAATTTTCCTCCACATATTTCCTAATTGCCTCTATGGGGCTTGCTTTGGTTTGGTACAGTTCTTTATAAAATTCTTCTTATAAAATTCCTCAAATACTTTCAATTTTTCTTTCATAGCTCTACATAATTTACCTGTTTTATCTTTTATCATGTTTATCGTTCCTTCCATTTTCTTTTTCTGTGTTGATTTGGCTAGGATCTTTGAATTCCTATCACTAAACTCAAAATATTCCCTCCTTAAATAAATTAAATTTTCTTGTACTTCGTCTATTTCCATTTTATCCAATTCCTCTTTTTTTGCTCTTAACCTAGCATAAATTCGTGTATCTCTCTTTATTACATATGCTTTTTCAATCTCTTCTATTTCTCTTTCTAAATTCCTTTTCCTTTCTTCTTGCCTTCTCTTTAAATTAATTGTCTCTTTTATACATAACCCTCTGGTCACTGCTTTCATAGTGTCCCATAGAACTCCTTTTGTCACCCCCTTTTCGTTGAAGCCCCATATTTCTTGCCATTCTGCTTGCACTTTATCTACTATCTCTTTATGATTTAGTATTCTTGTGTTTAACCTCCACCTTTTCATTTCATCATAATCACATTTCAACGCAATCTCAATTGAAACCAAAGCGTGATCCGAAATCTTAATCATACCTATATCAGCATTTAGCACTTTACTTGTCATATTTTTGGAGACAAAATATAATCAATTCTTGTATACACCTTATGTACTGATGAATAATATGTATATCTACTTTCATTCCCTTTTACCAATCTCCACACATCCTTTAATTGCCATTTATTCATTACTCTGCTTAATTCCGTTGTTTCAATGTTTCTAGCTTTTGATGCTATCGTAGTTTTATCCTTCTTTAAATCCATACAGCAATTACAATCTCCTCCAAATATTACATTTTGTTGATGGTAATTCTCTATTTGCTCTAACACTTTTTCATAAAATTCTTGCTGTTTCACATTTGGTGCGTATACATTTACTAATACATATTTTTCCTCCCCTATTTCCCCATATATTATTATATATCTTCCCTCTTCATCCTTCAATACCTTGTTTATGACAAAATTACATTTCTTTGCTATTATTATTGCTACTCCTCTTGACTTTGATGTCCCAAAAGATGTTTCGTAGTTCCTTATCCAGCTCGACTTTAACTCATTTGAGCCCCGCTTATTTTGATGTGTTTCCTGTAGGAAGATGGCGTCCGCCGCGTCCTTCTTCAGTAG